CTACATCTACATCTACATCTACATCTACATCTACATCTACATCTACATCTACATCTACATCTACATCTACATCTACATCTACATCTACATCTATCTACATCTACATCTACATCTACATCTACATCTACATCTACATCTACATCTACATCATCTACATCTCTACATCTACATCTACATCTACATCTACATCTACATCTACATCTACATCTACATCTACATCTACATCTACATCTACATCTACATCTACATCTACATCTACATCTACATCTACATCATACATCTACATCTACATCTACATCTACATCTACATCTACATCTACATCTACATCTCTACATCTACATCTACATCTACATCTACATCTACATCTACATCTACATCTACATCTACATCTACATCTACATCTACATCTACATCTACATCTACATCTACATCTACATCTACATCTACATCTACATCTACATCTACAATCTACATCTACATCTACATCTACATCTACATCTACATCTACATCTACATCTACATCTACATCTACATCTACATCTACATCTACATCTACATCTACATCTACATCTACATCTACATCTACATCTACATCTACATCTACATCTACATCTACATACATCTACATCTACATCTACATCTACATCTACATCTACATCTACATCTACATCTACATCTACATCTACATCTACATCTACATCTACATCTACATATACATCTACATCTACATCTACATCTACATCTACATCTACATCTACATCTACATCTACATCTACATCTACATCTACATCTACATCTACATCTACATCTACATCTACATCTATCTACATCTACATCTTTATCTACATCTACATCTACATCTACATCTACATCTACATCTACATCTACATCTACATCTACATCTACATCTACATCTACATCTACATCTACATCTACATCTACATCTACATCTACATCTACATCTACATCTACATCTACATCTACATCTACATCTACATCTACATCTACATCTACATCTACATCTACATCTACATCTACATCTACATCTACATACATCTACATCTACATACTACATCTACATCTACATCTACATCTACATCTACATCTACATCTACATCTACATCTACATCTACATCTACATCTACATCTACATCTACATCTACATCTACATCTACATCTACATCTACATCTACATCTACATCTACATCTACATCTACATCTACATCTATATCTACATCGCATTGGTTTGCTTTTGCTTTGCATTGCCTTTGCTTTTGATCTTGCCTTTGCCTTTGCCTTTGCTTTTGCTTTTGCTTTGCTGTTGCTTTTGCTTTGCTTTTGTTTTTGCTTTTGCTTGGTTTTGCTTTTGCTTTGCCTGCGCACAGACACACACACGCATGTTTTTGCATTCGCTCACCGGGTGTGCTTGAGAACGCTCTGGATCCGGCCTACACCGCACGACTTGGCATTGAGCAAGGTTGTGCAACTCTTGCTACACCGAACGTTCCTACGAAACTATACAGCAGCAGCAACTCCCAGATCCGTCCGTAAGACTGCCCGCATGATGCAATACACTGCTGCACGCTCTTGCGTGGCTCTGCGAATCACGGAATTGAGGCTGAACGGCAACGAGGATGAACGGCATTACGACGCGGTGCTGAACAAATACATGCACACACACACGCACACACACATGCAGCATCCCACATGGGTGTTATGTATATATATATACACATATATTTGCATCTATAGAAAGACATTTAGGACATGCGATACTACGTCGGGTTTGATGTCTCTCGGCCGGTGCTATGTGCGAAACCTTCGTGGACTCTAAGGGCTCAAGCTGCCCCACTAAGGGGTCAAGATGGCCCACAGACGGACAACGTGCATGGAACATACGTGCGTACACACACATATATGTATATATATATATATATATATATATATATATACACCGGGGAACGGGGCCCGGGGCCGCCAGATTGGTGCCTCCGACCCCCATGGGGGCCACGGGGCTCACTTTCCATGTGTTTTTATAGGGTTTCCGCGTCCTGGGCCTCCGAGGCCGCCGCCTCCGACCCCCCGTGGGAGGACGGGGCGGCCAGGGAGGTCCAAAATAGTCCAGGAGGGCCTCCATACGCTCCCAAGACGGCCCAAGCGGGCCCCGAGTCGCCGAAAGACCGCTCCAGGACACCCAAGATAGGCCCAAGACGGCCGGAGAGGCTCCACAAGGCACTCCACGACGCTTCAAGACGCCTCTCCAGAGTGCTTCAAGAGGCCGAAATCGTCAATTGTACTAAGGTTTTCGAACGATTTTGGCCTTCCAGCCTTTTCGGCTGTCCGACGTTCCAAGACGGCTCAATAGGCCCCCGAAAGCGCCCCAAGACGGCCCAAGAGGGCCCCAAGACGGCCCCAGAGTCGCCCAAGACAGACCAACAGCGCCCCAAGACGGCCCCCAGATGCGCCCAAGAGGGGGACCACGACTCCCAAATGAAGAGTGCCCCTAGAGGCCCCAGGAGGCCCCCAAGAGGCACCCAGGAGGCCCACACGAGGCCTACAGAGGCCACAAAAGAGCTCCGAGGAGGCCCCACAACGGTCCCAAAACGGCTGCCAGGAAGTTGTGAAACTGCCTTCGCGACGTCCCCGACAGGCCAACCACGAGATCCAAACCAACGCCCATGAGGCCATTGACCCACCACCCAGGGCACGGTGGCGGGAGCAGTGACAGCACTTGTGCACAGCATGTTCCGGCGGGAGCATTCCAGAACACGCTGCAGGAAGAGGAGGAAGATCAGGAGGAGAGAGAGCTGGAGTGGGAGGAGGAGGAGGAGGATGAGGAGGGGGACGAGGAGGAGGAAGAGGCCTCCAAGACAGCTCCAAGATAGCCGAAGAGGCTTCCAAGAGTGCCCTGGGCGGCCCACCAGAGGCTCCAAATCGGCCTCCGAGAGGCTTCAGAACTGCCTACCCAGGTCCCCCAAACATGCTCCAGAAATGCGCTGCTGGAGCACGTTGCCGCCTCACCTTCCAGTGTTCGATCTCGCACCGAGGCGGGGGGGGGCCCGACGCGCCATGGGGGTGTCGGGGCGCCATGGACGCTTCTGGACCGCTCAAGACAGCTTCAACACAGATGAAAAGGGCCGCGAAAGGCCTCCAGGAGGCATACTATGAGATAGGCCCCCAGGAGGCCTACCATCGCGGAGTTAACGTTCTGACACGCCCAAGATGGCCTCCGGATGGCCCGCACCCCCAAAAGGGCCCCAAGAAGCCAAGATCACGGATTTTCCTTTTTGGTTTTTGATGCACTTTAGCGTTTCAGCCTTTTGACATCCCGACGCTCCAAGACGGCCCAAGAGGCCCCAAGACCGTTCCACGATAGCCGAAGAGGCTTCCAAGAGGGCCCCAAGACGGCCCACGAGGCCCCAATACAGTGCCTGAGGCGCCCAAGACGGCCCGAGAGGGCCCCAAAACGGTCCCAAGAGAGGCCCAAGAATGTGAACGCGAACCCAACAGCAGAGTCTTCCGCCCTAAAAGCCTAGAGAAGGCCCCAAAAGTCCCCAAGTGGTCCGACGAGGCCCCAATAAGCCTTCCAAGAGGCCCCAAGGAGACGTACAAAGGGCCCCAAGATTGCCCAGCAGCGCCCTCGATGCATCAAAACTGTCAGCAGGAGGCCCCCGGGAGGCTTCCGGATTGCTTCAGCGTGGCCCCAGGCGCCCTCAAGTCGGGCCTCCACGCAGCCAAGACGGCCAATGACGGCTTCAGATTGCAGAACATCACCTTCCGACTGCCCGCAGATTCCCGACGATGCTCCCAAGAAGGGACCCCAAGAAACCCCAAGACGCCCCCCCAAGAAGCACCCACGAGATGCCTCCAACAGCAAATTGAGGAAGCACGGAAAACCCCGCAGAAACCCTTCAGATGCCCCCACGAAGACCCAACAGGTCCCCAAGAGGCCCCCAGGAGGCACGACTATGTCACGCGCTTGTGCTTGATAGCGCTGTCCAAGATCTTCCAGCGCCCCCCCGGCCTGGGCTAGAACTTGAGCGCGCGCGAAGCGCGCGCGATGGTTCTAGTCTATATGTATATATAGATACAGCAGCAGCAATAGTGGATGCTGTGCTGCGCTATGCTATGCTATGCTTTGCTATGCTATGCTATGCTCTGCTATGTTATGATGTGCTATGCTATGCTGCCCAATGCCATGCTGGGCTAGGCTAGGCTAGGCTAGGCTATGCTATGCTATGCTATGCTGCGCTATGCTATGGTGCGCTATGCTATGATATGCTATGCTATGCTATGCTATGCTGTGCTATGCTATGCTATGTTTTAGCTTTGCCATCGCTTTTGCTTGGCACCCAGGGAGCGCAACTGGGGGAACCGCGCGTTTGCTTGTACCTTTGCTGTTGCTTTTGCTTGGCTCCCAGGGGACTGGGGGAACCGCCCAGGGCGGTTTGCACTGCCCGGCCCCTTTAAGCCAAGCGAGTATAACCCTTCTAGGCAGAGCCTAGGTCGGGAAATAGTCTGGGGACTATATTTTGAAATATATTTGGACTTATTTTGAATCTGTTTTGGGTATTTTTAGTTTTTCGTCCAAAATCCCCCTGTAGGGGGACACGCCCGACTTAACCCAATCCTGGAATGTTGACTAGCAGAGTGCTGATGCTCTCGGGGCAGCTCTAGGGTGTCAGTGTGACCTGCATCGCACATGTATCCCCGAATGGTTCGCCCTGGCGTGACGTGGTGCCTCTCCCACCTCACCCTCCTGGTATCTTCGCGCTCCGCGCTTCGCATGTCCTGCCTGTGGTGGCCCGCGAGGAGTGCAGGCGCCGCTTCTACAAGTCGTGGCACAAGTCCAAGAAGAAGGCCTTCACAAAGTACAGCAAGAAGTGGGCTCGGGCTGCACCTTGCGCGCCGACACCTCAAAAAAGGGAAGGCCCTGTGCGATGCCGGCTCCTTCGGAGTCAGGCGGTGCCCTCCTGGCCGCGCTTGGGCTCTCCGCCAGCAGCGTGCGCTTGCCAGCCAGATGCGCCTCGCATCTGGCCGCCCGCTTGGCCGTTCAGCATCTGGCAGCAAGCTCAGGCAGCCCCGCGCGACGACAGCTCTCGCGACAGTACCTGCGACAGCGCTGACGACTCGAGCCCAGGCGCTCCTTGCCATCTACGGTCCCTGGCTCTGAGCCTTGTATCCCTCGGTTGAGCCCGCCATGGCTCGCGCGCTCACCCCCATGGCCTTCTCCAACACTTATCGCCCACCTCCCTGCCTCATTTCCGAGGGAAGGGGATATGTTCTCGCTGGGAGTCCCCCGCGCGCACCTGCGCACATTCTTCCGCGGAAGGGGCTGTTTCGGAGAGAAGACTGATCCAAGTGGAGGTCCAGCAGAGATTGGGGGGGGAGGTGAATGGAGAATGGATGGAGACGGCCATGTGGGGAGGTGAATTGGACAGGGGGGGCGGAGGGGAGGGGGAGTGGGCCCACTCCACAGTTGCCCCAGCTCGACAGCGAGGCTCTCCTCCAGGCCTGGGCGACCGCCTGCGATTGAGAGCCAGAAGGGGACCACCTTGCGATCTGGCGGCCGCCCGCGACCCGAAGCGCGGCGCCGAACGGTCCGCCGACGTCCCCTTGAGATCCGACGCAGCGAAAAAATGGCATCATCGCAAAAAATGGCAACATAGAACAAATGGCAACACCGCCCGGAGCCCTGGACCCCATCTTTCCGCGTAAGTTTCCGAGCTGGATCGATCTGTGAGGGTCCCGGGACCCGAAGCTGAGCGAGAACGCCTGGCTCGAAAAAAACCTGAGACGCCAGGATCTCAGGGGAAGGCTCAGGAAACTTCTCAGAAGGCCGGGGACCTTCCGAGCCTTCTGGGAAGGCCGCCCTTTCTCACTTCCCCCCTGGGCTCGCCACCGACGACGACGACGACGACGACGACGACGACGACGACGACGACGACGACGACGACGACGACGACGACGACGACGACGACGGCGACGACGACGACGACGACGACGACGGCGGCGGCGACGACGACGACGACGACGACGACGACGGGGGAGTGCCCTCGGCGCTCCCTTCCGTCGCTCGATCTTCCGAAGCGTCCGCCGACCGCCCCGCCATCGCTCCCGAGCTGTCTGGCCGATGCCCTCGGGCCGCAGCCTGCTCGTCGTCGTCGCCGTCGTCGTCGTCGCCGCCGCCGTCGTCGTCGCCGTCGTCGTCGTCGTCGTCGTCGTCGTCGTCGTCGTCGTCGTCGTCGAGCTCAGTGGGGAAGTGAGAAAGGGCGGGCCTTCCCAGAAGGCTCGGAAGGTCCCCGGCCTTCTGAGAAGTTTCCTGAGCCTTCCCCTGAGATCCTGGCCTGTCAGGTTTTTTTCGAGCCAGGCGTTCTCGCTCAGCTTCGGGCCCCGGGACCCTCACAGATCGATCGAGCTCGAAAAATGGCGCAGAAAGATGGGGTCCAGGGCTCCTGGCGCGATTTTCGACGCCGGTGTAATTTTTTTCGCTGCGTCGGATCTCAGGGTCGCCGAAGACACGGAAGACCTCTCAGAAGGCGCGATGGCGTCGAAGACGTTCCGCCGCCCTCTGAGAGGGCGTTCTCCTCCTCACTCCCCCCCCTCGCTGGCCGCCGAGTTTTGGGTCCCCGTGTGTGGGGCTCTGGCTGGCAGCTGTGGGCCAGGGTCGGGCCGGACGAAAGGGGGGGATTGGGAAAGGGACGGTTACGAAGCTTGCTGCATGCAGCTGGTTTCGGGCCCACCGAGGGGCCAACTCCTCGAAACATGGCCGCCTCCGGCGCTGGGAAAATCAGCTGCGTGAGCTGATTCTCAACCCCCCCCTTTGCTATCGCCCCCTTTCGCCCAGCCCGACAGGGGGGGGGGGGGGGGCGATCTCTTGCCGGCCTGTGGCGGTTTTGGGCCAAGGGGTGTTCTGCAGCCTGCAAAAGGCCCCCGCGCCCTCCCTTTTGCCCACCTCCGCGCCCGACTTCGACTGCTGTGTGTAGAGGGCCACATGCGAACCCTACCCCTACCCCCCACGATTTCTGAGGTGTGGGGTGGGGTTCACTTCGTTCGGGAGCTCCCGAGCGAAGCGAACCCCACCCTCCCCCTCAGAAATCATGGGGGGCAGGGGTAGGGTTCGCATGTGGCCCCCTAGTGTAGGCCGCCACGTTCTGGCTGGCGCAAGTCGTTGTCCGTGTCGATTCCTCCAGTTGGGATGAGGACGAGGAGACCTCGCCGGGGGCGGAAAAGAGGGGGGTGATGACTAGGGGGGGGTGGATATCATGGCGGTGGCCATGATATTTCCCCAGATGTCATGGCGCCTCTTCTTATTTCAATACGACCCTGGGCCCCAACTTGGGCCGCGCACATGCCGCCTGTCATGATTTGCACCCCCCCCTCTTCCTCTTGGACACCCCCCTCTTGGCCGCTCCCGACTCAGTTGGGATGAGGATGAGGAGACCTCGCCAGCTGCTCGCTCGTTCGCTCGCGGCCGACCTGCTCCTCCTCCTTCTCCTCCTTCTCCTCCTCCCGAAAGACTGGGCGAGAGATGATCGGCCAGATGTTTTCTCCACCCCACAAGCCCAGTGGTTGCGTGCCAGGAACGGCTCAGGGCCTGCCCAGCTTCTCCTGAGCAGAAAGCTGCTGACTGTGGAAGCCACCATCGAGAACCGACATGCGTGGGGGGCGCCAGGGTGCCGCCGAGGTGCTGGCGCGGGAGGGGGGCGGAGGGGGAGGAGGAGGAGGAGGAGGAGGAGGAGGAGGAGGAGGAGGAGGAGGAGGAGGAGGAGGAGGAGGACGAGGAGGAGGAGCAGGAAGAGGAGAAGGGGGAGGAGGAGGGGGAGGAGGAGGAGGAGGAGGCGGAGGAGCAGGAAGAGGAGGAGGGAGAGGAGGAGGGGGGGGAGGAGGAGGAGGGCAAACATTTCGGGAACACCCCTGCTCCCGTGCCATCCGCCGACTCTTTCGAGCCCCACCAATGCGGCCTCCTTGCCTCCTGTTCTCTCGCCCTCCGTGCCGGCCTCCTGCCTCTGGCGCGCCCGTTCTGTCCTCCTCGCATTGATGCGCTTGCTGCTCGCCGCCGACAGCGCTCCTCGTCGTCGTCGTCGTCGTCGTCGTCGTCGTCGTCGTCGTCGTCGTCCGTCGTCGTCCGTCGTCGTCGTCGTCGTCGTCGTCGTCGTCGTCGTCGTCGTCGTCGTCGTCGTCGTCGTCGTCGTCCTTCCAGTCCTTGCCCTTCTGCTTCTCCTGCTCCTTCTCCTCTTCCTCTGCTCTCTCCTTTTCCCGCCCTTTCCTCTGTGGAGGGAGCCTTACCAGACGGGAGCCTCTCGGAGCCCGCACAGCGAGCGGGGCGGCGCCATCGCAGCCGGCGGACGTGTGCGGGCTGACTAAAGCCGAGGGTTAGTCAACACACACGGGGGGCCAGGCGGAGGCGGGGGGAGATGTAGTCAGGCGCGGGGATAACTAGATACTCGCCTCAGGGAGTCCCTTGGCTCAGAATCCTCCTCTCGGCCACCCCTGGATCTGTCTGGTCGTGTGCGTTGTGCATGCTCCGTGCCTCAGGTGGGAGGACGCCGCCAAGAGTGGCGAGACGCCCATGGCAGCAGAGGTCAACCGAGCGAAGAAGTACTGTCAGGTCATCCGCGCCCTGGTCCACACCCAGGTCCAGAAGGCTCTGGGTCCACTGGCGGTAGATTCTTTTCTTGCGATCTTGGGAGAGTGTCACACTTAATGTCTGACAGTGTGGACTCCAAAAGAGGGTTCTCGCACTCTGTATGCGTATATACCATAACGGGCGACTGTGTCCCCGGGCCCAGGGGGGCCCCATTTTTCAAGACTGACCCCCCCCACCCCCGCATCTTACTTTGGCCCCTGGGGCAAGGCGGGTCCTTTTGATGGCCCAGGGGAGCTCTCTTTGCTTCGAAAAGACGGCCCAAGATGGCCCAAGTCACCCCTAGGAGCGTTCCAAGCTGCCGCAACATGCCTAACCAGACGCTTCAAGAGGTTTCTAGAGATATGCAACATGCGTCACATCATGTTTGTTAATGAGTTCTCGTTGGCATCTCGCAAGTCGCTCCTAAAGATGGCTTCTGCTGCGATCCAGAATGCCACTGGGGAGCCCAAGAGCATTTGACGGACTCTCAGAAGAGCATCCCGAGGGTCCCACACGACCAAGGCTTTCCCAGAGGGCCCACGGGGTCCCAAGACGGCGTCGGAAACTTTCAAGATAGCCGAAGGACGCCACAAGGCGGCCCATACGAACCCGAGAGTTAGGATACGAGCCACACGACGTCGGACCGCGCTCAAAGTCCTCCTACACGCGCTCGTGCGTGTCAGAACGGAAACAAAGGGACACGGATGAGCGGGCCAAGGGACGAGAGGACGGTACCAGAGGGAGGAGGCGTCGAGGCGTAGAAGGTGGAAAACAGGTCTAACCGCCCGAGCCCTCAATGTCCACTTAGGGCCGCGCATCAGCCAGCACAGTGCAGTGCAGCATACACTCACAACTCCCCTCCCCCAACTTACCCCCCCTAGGGATGACGAGGAGGGAGAAGAGTCGAGAATACTCGACTGAACAGCGCAGTGCGCTCCACGACACATTAGCGCCATGTGCTCGGCGACGCGACACGACACGACACCGCCGAGCGCTCGATGCGCCAGACGGTGCCAACGACGAAGACAAGGCCAAAATCAAGAGTACTCTGGATTTCGCAATGAAAGGGGTTGGTCCGATTTTTTTTGGGGTTTGCTTGGAGCTGTCTCGGAGGGCTCCAGTGGAGTCTGGGCAAGCGGCCGCCCCTGCATGGCTGGTCTGAGTGGGTCTGAAACCACTCGTCTGGGAGGGCTGCGGCCCCTTCCCTTCTAGTTGCGAAGTTCGAGTCTGTTTTCCGATCCCCTGGATGGGGTTCCAGCGAGCCAGAAAGTTTTCCGATCACCTGGATGGGGTTCCAGCGAGCCAGAAACGATCGAAATCCTTCACCATCGAGCTTCCATCCTCGCGACAGGCTGTCCAGTTCCCCGAACACCGCTGGGCTCCAGTCACCTAGGTTGAAGTCGGGCCCGTCCCTCTACAGGGGGAATATTCAAAAATAGTCAACAAAATAGTCTGGGGATTATTTTTTGGTATTTTTTGACCACTTTGGAGTGTGTTAGGGGTATTCTTGATTTTTCGTCGAAAATCCCCCTGTAGGGGGCTAGGCCCGACGTAAACCCAGGTGCGCCCTTGGGCTCTCATGTGGGTCCGCGTGGGGAAACATCGCGCCGAATCCCCAAGGAGCTCATGCAGGTGCCCACAGTTGCGCACACTTTTTGGACTGTGCAAGCTACGTGGTGCAGTCCGGAGTGCACCGGCGCGTCTCTGCGGCTGCACCCGGCGTGCGCACGCTCGCGCGCGGAGCGACCAGCTCGTCTGGCAAAACGGATGCGGCCGCGATGGCGCTTATCGACGGGGACCTCCCAGCGCGCCTCCGAGGCCGCGTGTCGGGCGGGCTTCGCATTGCGGGTCGGTGACTCGGGTGGGCACGATATCATGCTGACCTCGACAACGGCGGCAGCGATGATGATGGTGGCGATTGTGGTGGCGTATGTGGCGATGACGTCGGCGATGCTGGTGATGGCCATGACGATGATGGTGTCCATGTGTCGACGATAAAGATGATTGTGATGATGGTGATGACGACGATGAGGATGCTTATGCTGCTGCTGATGATTATGATTATTCTGATGGTAATGGTGATGCTGCTGATGATGATGATGATGATGATGATGATGATGATGATGATGATGATGATGATGATGATGATGATGATGATGACAATGATGATGCTGATGATGGTTATTTTGATTCTGATTATGATGATGACGATGATCATGATGATGATGATGCTGATCATGATGATTGATGGCGGCAGTGGTAGGGTTTACGATGACGGTGATAGCGGTGAGGCGATGGCGCCTATGAGCGTGATGAGGGAGTGCGCTCGCGCGCAGACATTAAAGCAATCTGACATTTATTTGTTTACACGTATCGAAGACGCCTATGGCGAGTTACCGCCGCCTCCTGCCTTTTGGAATCGCCCATGTGGCCGAGCGTTGTGGCAAGAGCTCTGCCAAGCTATCGGGCCATGTGTTCCCCCAGCCGTTGTAGAAACCCTTCGGGGAACACTTGGGGGAGGGTGGCGGGAAAGATCAGGAGGGGGAGGAGGAGGAGGAGGACGAGGAGGAGGAGGAGGAGGAGGAGGAGGAGGAGGAGGAGGAGGAGGAGGAGGAGGAGGAGGAGGAGGAGGAGGGGGGGCATCTTGGGAGCCTCTCGGGGCACCCTCGGGGCCTCCTGGGAGCTTCCCGGGAGCCTCTTGGAGGCATCTTGGGGGCCTCCTTGGGCCTCTCGGGGGCCTTTGAGGGCTTCTCGGAGGCATCTTTGGCCGTCTTAGGGCATTCCTGGCCCGTCTGACGCCGTCGGAAGCCGTCTTGGTGGCCTCTCTGCGCCGACTTGGGGGCCCTCTTGGGGTGCTCCAGGGCCGTCTTGGAGGGTATCTTGGTCGTTTCGGAGGCCTCCTGGGCCGTCTGTTGCGGGCCTCTTTGGCCGTGCTGGGGCCATCTTGGAGGCCTTTTGGGCGATCATGGGGCGATCTATTGGGGGCTCATGGGCCATGGGCCGTCTCGGGCCGTCGGAAGACAGAAAAGATCCAACGTGGCGCTGACGATGCAGATGATAGCGACTGTGCCGATGAGGATGGTGAACAAATGCTCTCCCGCAGGCATTCAGGCATCCTAGCAGGTTGTACTTGAAGACAATCGGGCTTACGTAGATTGTTGAACACATCTGTGCTGAAATGGTGAGAAACCGATGGTGTTGGAGGGATTTCGACGTGCGCGCACAGAAACGTGGGCGTGTGGCCCGCATTCTATAATCTGCCAGGGTCGGTGGACGCTTGATGATGGTCGAACGTTCTCACATGCTTGCGCGAGTGGCCCGCGTGGCCTCATTAGAGTATAGTGGTTAAGCACTTATGATATTCTTTCAGCGGGTGCGCCATCGCTCGCATAATTCTGCCATTTGTTCGAATACCCATGTCTACTCCTTGTTCCATCGAAAACAAGGTATGAACAATGGTTTGATGTGCGCGTCTGACAGCGCACGCATGGGCACAGTTTTTGCTTGCTTCCTGGTTTGTCTATACCCCGAAGGGTTCTTAGAGACAGGCACCTCTCACATTAACGCGTGTGCACCGCATAGTTTTCTTGGAAAGGTATGGGTGTGTGGACATATGCTTAGATGGGCTGGTGCTACTTGGTATTTAGGATGTGGGATCTTTCATATTCATACTCAACGCAACAACACCATGTGTGGGGGTGGGTAAGCCCAGTCTCGGTGGTTGGACGGATGCTTTTTTTTTTTTTTTTTTTTTTTTTTTTTTTTTTTTTTTTTTTTTTTTTTTTTTTTTTTTTTTTTTTTTTTTTTTTTTTTTTTTTTTTTTTGTTTTTTTGTTTTTTTGTTTTTTTGTTTTTTTGTTTGTTTGTTTGTTTGTTTGTTTGGTTGTTTGGTTGTTTGTTTGTTGGTTTGTTGGTTGGTTGGTTGGTTGGTTGGTTGGTTGGTTGGTTGGTTGGTTGATCGTTGTTGTTGTTGTTGTTGTTGTTGTTGTTGTTGTTGTTGTTGTTGTTGTTGTTGTTGTTGTTGTTGTTGTTGTTGTGTGTGTAGTAGAGCCTTATCTGTTTTGGGAGAAGGAGTCTCAGCCTGCATCAGGACACGCCAATCAGCTCAAGAGGCGCCGACGCGGTGGCCACGGGGTGCCAAGGGGGCGAGGGCCCAGACACGCTGACCCGCGTGGGGGGCGGCCAGGGTGCCCTGTCGGGCGGCTGCTGGGCGAGACCTCAGGAAAACGCCAGCCAGCACAGAACGATCGAGGGGCACAGGGGCGGCAATCCAGCGAAGACCCTGAGACGCCAGCAGCGTGCTTCACCCCTAATGGAAGCATCGTTTTTGGGAGTCGTTCAAGTCCACATTAGGGGCAGCATTTACTGTTCGGCGGAAGTCAGGGGGAGCAAGCGCGGACAGGAGGCGTCTCATGGCATCCTTGCAGGTCTCGTCAGATGGTTTGGCTGTTCGGATGCGATGATGTGGAGCAGAGGGGAGTGAGTAGGAGGGGCGAGACTAGAGGTCGGAGGCTGCACGCAAGTGAGATCGGAGCGAGATAATGTCTGGTCCAGCTCCCAGCCACGGCTGTAGGTGAAGATCGGCGCGAAGAAGGCGGTCATCAAGGAGATTCAGATCAATGGCGGCACTTCCGAGGCGAAGGTCGATTACGTTATGGGTCTGTTCGAGCAGGAGGTGACGAAGACAGGGACTAGGAACGGGTAATCGAGGCCGACCTCGCTCAGCCAACGAGGGTCCCTCCCAAAGTCTCGAGGTCCAGGATTCTAGGAGGCTGAGGAGGAGGAGGAGGAGGAGAAGGAGGAGGAGGCGGAGTGTGGCAGCAGACAGGAGAAACTTGTACTTTGCTTGTGTTTCGGTCTCGGTCAACCTTGACGGTAGCCTGCTTACTGAGTTCGCCGCGGCTTTCTCTGGCCCCACAGGTGAAGGTCGACAGTGTCTTCAAGTCGAGCGAGGAGACACCTCTTTGTAGCGACAATATCATGGTTGCCGCTTCTCAGAGAAGTCCCGATCGTATCCCCTTGTCGGCACCTGGCCATCACTGCACAAGCGTCTACATGCAGCGCGGACCAATCGATTTTGATGCAGCCTGTCAAAGCCGTATTGAAAGTCGCCGCAGTCTACATCAGGGATTCGCCCCTTCGCCTCCAGGCCCATGGTGTCCGTCCCTGGCATGTTCGCGCCTGCAGTTGCGCGCTCCAGCGCAGGCATAAGCACACGCACACTTTTTTGCGTCGCGGCCCTGCGCGCAGCGTCGAGACGTCGAAAGTCGTGCAACGAGATGCGCGCGTCTGGCCCAGGTCACGCGGCGTGGGGACCTGGATCCGCCCATAGGGGGTGAACCGAGTCGCTCGCGGGGGGCCAGGAGGGGTGGGGGAGAGACGTGGGGGGAGATGCACAGAGGGCAATGCACAGCTCGCGTGGGCCAGACGGGGCGCAGGGGCAACCGCAGCGGCGGTGCCGCGGTGGAGGGGAGGGCCCAGCCCAGGCGGGTGCTCGAGAGGCAGCCCCGGGGCGCGGAGAAGCGCCAGAAGGGGCCCGTGGGCGCGCGCGCGCGAGGGGGCCGTACAGTAGCAGGCCAAGGCAGCCAGGACGGGCAGCGCGGCAGCGGCTGGGCCAGGAGCGCTCTGCAGAGGGTGAGGGGGGCGCCGCGGCAGCCCGCGACCTGCACCCCACACGCGCACACTTTTTGGTCTGCGGGGCGAGAGCGAACCCCTTCCGCTAAAAGCTAGGCGGGCTACGCACAGCTTTACTTAGGGAGACAGGGCACGGGAAGGCGGCCCCCCACACACGCACACACACACACACGAACACGAATGCAGTCACTCACGGGGAGGTTTTCACAGGTTACGCGCCCATCGTCCAGAATGCGGAAATAAATGCGTAGGGGCATGCACGATGGCACGCGCAAGCGGACGCACAGGCAGTTTGAATGTTTTGGGGGTTGATTTTCGATCATTCTGAACGCGCGCATGTCTGCGTACGCGCGTGCGCGCACGCACGCATTTGCGTGTGTCCACACACACGACAAATTTCGGCCGGCCGTCAATGGCGCAACCTGTCGAAAGTCGACCGGTTTGGGTGGGAGAGCTTATGGACTGCACGCGCACGCCCTCGCGCACGTTGACATGTTTTTTGGTGGGGGATGGGGCGCACGGACTACGTGGCAGGGCTCAGAAGCGCACGCACGCACATTTTCTTTCTCCCCCGACGCGCCAGGGACACCAACCGGAGGAGATCAGGTCCGGCGGGGTATGCCCAGGCTGGATTTACAACCCTATGTTCGGGGAAACGTAAGACTCGAGTAAGCCGGAACTCGGGTTTGCCAACGTTTTTTGACGAGCGCGTCCTGGATTTTGACGGTCCAGTTTTCGTGGGATGTCTGCAGCGGGAGCCTGCGTCAAATTTCGGATTGGGCCTCGTCATTTTTATGATGGCCCCGTTGGGCCCAACCCGAGTCTTCCGTACCCGAGTCTTATACGTCTCCCCGACATGTGGCATCGAGGTCTTCGGACAGGCGCCAAACGGCCGGGCGGAGCAGGGCAAACAGCGCAGACGGTCCAGGGGTCTCCGGACGGGCGCGGCAGAACCTGGCAGGGCCGGCGGGCACAGGAGCGGCGGGCGAGGCCACCGGGACAGGCACGCACACGGGACACGCGCAGCCACGCGCGCACGCGTGCGTGTGCGCTCGCGCGGCGCCTGGAGGCCTCTGGGCGGCCACCTCGGGCCCTCCAGGTGTCAGGAGGGAGAAGAGCACACAGACACAATTCATTCTCGATGCCCCAGAAAATATGGGAAAATATGGGAAGTGGGGGGGAAGACAAAAACCCAGAACATATGAGAAAATATGGGGAATCCTTTTATTTGTGTGTATTTATTTGTGTGTCCCAGGGCCCCTTCAGTTGGGACGACCAACACGTTGCACACTCCCGTGATTTTTCAGTTTTGTGGGCCCCGAGGAAGCCTCGGGTCCCAAAAAGCCGGCGCTTCATTGAACCTGTTTGGAGCCTCCGTCAGGGAAGTCTCGGGGCTGTCCTGCGCGGTCGTGTTTGCTTTTGGGGGGTGGTAGGAAACAGCCAGATTCTGAGAGTTGGTGTTTCAATTTGACGTCTCTTGGAGTCGATGCCGTGTGGTCGGGGTGGGTCGTTTTTACCTCGCGAGGGTTTACCTTGTCGTAAATCAGGCTGCAGTAACTCCGCTTGGCGCCTGACGGTGAGGCTGACTTGACTGTTGTCTGAGGCCAGCTTGCAAACAAACGCGCGACAACGCCAAGCAAACGTGAACAAAAACGCACGCACATGTAATCACACGTGCGTGCACACGGTAGCAGGTCGTTGGAGCAGGTTTCTTTTCGTCAGATGGCCCTTTTTTGTTTTGGCAAGGATGCTTTTTGAAGGCAGTGGGAAGCGGCAAGGACAGGGATGCCTTGCGGTGTGGGCGAGTTCAGCAGCTGGGTACCAGCGAGCACAGTTCGAAACGCAGTGCCTCAACCTCTCTCCGACGTCTTCGCATACAGCAATGTTCTCGAGATGGTCGACGCCATCGGCGTCTCTGCTGGTCGCGGCTTCAACGGCGTCGTCACGCGCTGGGGCGTCACAAGGCTTGCCCGCAAGTCGCATCGTGGCCTGCGCAAGGTGGCGTGCATCGGGACGTGGCATCCTGCGCGTGTTCAGTTCCAGGTTGGGGCTGGGTGAACAAGGCATAGGAAAAGGAGGGAGAAGAAAGAGGGCCAGCGTCTGCCGAAGAGAATCAGTGATGTTACCATGCGCCCTTTCGTCCCAAGTCCCCTTCTCATACAGTCGTGCCGATGTACAAGACCGAGGTCGATTCGGGGAGTGTGTGCTAATATTCTTCGTGTCTGTCGGATGTTCTGGTGCATCCTGGGGGATGGTCTCATAATCTTGAGGGATGTTCTTCTGACCTAGGTCCGGCTGTATCCCTGGGGCCAAAGAGAGGCACGAACGGTGCCTGCTTCTCTCCCCCGGGTGGGGGGGAGGAGAGGGGGGAGGAGGAGGAAGAGGAGGAGGAGGAGGAGGAGGAGGAGGAGGAGGAGGAGGAGGAGGAGGAGGAGGAGGAGGAGGAGGAGGAGGAGGAGGAGGAGGAGGGGAGGAGGAGGAGGAGGAGGAGGAGGAGGAGGAGGAGGAGGAGGAGGAGGAGGAGGAGGAGGAGGAGGAGGAGGAGAGGAGGAGGAGGAGGAGGAGGAGGAGGAGGAGGAGGAGGAGGAGGAGGAGAGGAGGAGGAGGAGGAGGAGGAGGAGGAGGAGGAGGAGGAGGAGGAGGAGGAGGAGGAGGAGGCCCCGAGCGATGAAACGCGAGTCTGCCGAGACAGACCCACGCCAGCGGAGAGACACAAAAGGATCCGACACTCCCAATGGGGGTAGTGCGGAGGGTGAAAGCCCCTTGGATGGGCAGCATATCCCAGGTCGACGCTCACAACAGGTTACGCCATCACGAGGCCAGAGACGGCGAAGGCGGGCGCGTCGCAGACGGGCCGCGCGAGCGAGCCGCACTCCAGCAGCGCGAGGACGGAGCGAGCGTGAGCATCACGTCATGCGGTGAGACCTCGCCAACCGAACCACGAACTCGTGCACGTCGTCGACGATGGCCGAGTCCGCAGGGGACAGCGAGTCGATGCTCGCCGTCGCCGCCTCCACGAGGCAGAAGAGGTCGCCAGGGGGCGTCCCCAGCCGTGCAGCCAGCTCCGCCGACCGCTACTGGATCGCCGCGAGGGTCACCGGGCCGCCAGCCGCCGCTGCCGCCGCCGCCGCAGGCGCAGCGTCGGGCACCGCAGGTGCCGCCTCCAGACGTGCAGGACGGCCTCCATCGGCCCAGGAGTCGTCTGGCTCGTCCACCTCGTCGTCCTCATCACCGCCACGACCACCGACATCCAGAAGAGGAAGCCCCACAGCTGCACCAGGGAGGAGGGCGGCCGCAGGCGCAGGGCGCGGGCGGCGCCGCCGCCTCCTCGCCCCGTGGCCGCCGCCCGCCGCCTCCAACACCATGGGCGCTGCGTGTACTCCTCCAGCATCGGCGCTCTCCGCCGCGGCCGCCTCGGGAGGCGCGCCCCAGCCCGCGGCACCGGGCCCACGGCCCCCGCGCCCGCGCCGCCGCCGACGCTTGGCGGGCGCGGCGCCATGGGGATCCAGGGGCGGCTGCGTGACCCGAAGGGACGCCACTGCCGCGCGCAGCATGCCTTCCGCGGCTCGCAGCAGGCGCACCCCCGACTGGGAGTGCCCCGCCGCAAGCCCCGCCGCCGCGTGCGCCGCCAGCAACGCCCTGCGGGCGGCTCCTTCGGCGTCGCGGCGTCCAGCAGGCTGCGTGACCGCACCAGGCATTGCTCCGCAGCGAGCGCGGCGCGGCCGCGGCCCAGCGATGCGGGGTTGAGCCCAAATGGGTACTGAGGAGGAGGAGGAGGAGGAGGAGGAGGAGGAGGAGGGAGGAGGAGAGGAGGAGGAGGAGGAGGAGGAGGGAGGAGGAGGCGGAGGCGGAGCGGAGGCGGGCGGAGGCGGAGCGGAGGCGGAGGGAGGGGGGGGGAGGAGGAGGAGGAGGAGGAGGAGGAGGAGGAGGAGGGAGGAGGAGGAGGAGAGGAGGAGGAGGAGGGGAGGAGGAGGAGGAGGAGGGAGGAGGAGGAGGAGGAGGAGAGGAGGAGGAGGAGGAGGAGGAGGAGGAGGAGGAGGAGGAGCGGAGGAGCAGGAGGAGCAGGAAGAGGAGGGGGAGGGGAGGGGATGGGGGAGGGGGAAGGGGAGGGGAGGGGGGAGGGGGAGGGGGAGTGGGAGGGGGAGGAGGAGGAGGAGGAGGAGGAGGAGGAGGAGGAGGAGGAGGAGGAGGAAGAGGGAGGAGGAGGAGGAGGAGGAAGAGGAGGAGGAGGAGGAGGAAGGAGGAGGAGGAGGAGGAGGAGGAGGAGGAAGGAGGAAGAGGAGGAGGAGGAGGAGAGGAGGGGAGGAGGAGGAGGAGGAGGAGCATGGATTTTCTGAAAGGGTGCTCTTCTGTCCTAGGCCCAGCTGCAAGTCCCCAGAAGCAGTCCTGTGGACCGTGCGCGGAGCGCCCCTCCTCGGCAAACGAGACACGAGCGCCCTCTGATGAGGAGGCCGCAGTTCGGGCGGGAGCTCCCTGCTGAAGAGGACCTGCCCTCAATCCTTCGAGCCAGAGGGAGCGCGACATATGCTGGGGCAAGAAGCTCAGATGGTGGTCCAGCAACGGCCTCCTCCTCCCCCTCCCTCCTCCTTCTCCTCCTCCTCGTCCTCCTCCTCCGCCTCCTCCTCTTCCTCCTTCCTCCTCCTCCTCCTTGTCCCCTCCTCCTCCTCCTCCTCCTCCTCATCTCCTTCTCTCTCCCGCTCCTCCTCCTGCTCCTCATATTCTCTGCGACCTCCCCATGCGGTCTCTACAGTGTTCGGCCCAGTGGCCCCCCCCCCCCCGTTCGGCCCGCGGCCCGCTGATGCAGCGCGCCGTCGGGCTGTTGGTGGAGGCGGGTGGCGCTGCGCTCTGCCAGGGTCTGCGAGCCGCGCTATTCGAGCGGCTCGCTGGCCGACCACTTCTAGGGACGGGCCAGGAGGCCCCAGCCTTTGGGTCCTCTTGGCCGTCTCAGGCGGCGGGTCTCGGAGCAACGGCGGAGTGCCCTGCCTCTAGGGGATCCGCGTCCTGTCCCACCGTTTGCGTTGGGCTGGCGGTGGACCTGAGCGGCGGGGTCTTTTCTCTGCTGCTCGCGACGGTCCTCTCGCTCGTGGGAGTGACCGCTTGCTGCAGCTTCTGCGGAGGCTGCTGTCTCGCGGGCCTGGTGGTCCGCTGCGCGGGCCCGTACCTGGCTCGCGCGCCTACCCCTGCGCCCGCGAGGGCACCCGCGAGGGCCTTGGCCTACGGCCCTGGCCCCGTAGCCGCTTCGCGCGTCTCCGTGGCGGCGGATCTTCGGCCCGCGTCGCCGCGTCGAGGCTAGTCCCCTCGGGTCGGCCTTCGGGCCGCCCGCGCGGGCTCCGTCGCCACGAGCGCGCTGATGTCTCTTTTGCGGACCCGACACGAGGCTCGGCGAGGGGAAATGCCCCACGACGCTGGGGACGATGGCTGCCGTGCCCGCGCTTCCAGAGGGCCCCGTGTGGCCCGAGCTGCACCCTTACGAGACGCCGTCTGCGGCGGGCTACGCCGGATGGCGGCTCGACGAGGGCGACTTCAGTTTCGCCGCCATACCGCTTGCACAGCGAGACGGTGGCGTGCTGCTTGCCGTTCCGTCATCTTTCCGCTCGGCTGCCGACATGGCGGCCGCGGAGGCAGAGGGTTTCTCTGGGCTGCTGCGCCCGTATATGGTGATGGACGTGCCTCTCCTCGGGGCGGCTTCACGCGCGCTGGCCACTACGGCTCCCGTCCTTGTGATCGACTTAGACATCAACGAGTTGGAGCTCGAGTCCTTGTCGCCGCTGCCCGCGGCTTTGCCGGCCGATGTCGCCCATTTTGCGACGGCGCGGGGTCGCGTTTGCTGGCCGCGTCCGTTTATGGTCAGACTGCTCAGCGAGCAGTTCGCCACCCTCCACGGTGCTCCTCCCGCCGACGGCGAGGAGGATTCGGTAGGGGCCGAGCGAGCGACTCCTTTCCACGCGGGATCGGAGGGAGTCGAGGAGATCGGGTCCATCTCGGATCGGGGGGGGGGAGGCGACGCCGACCGCAAGCCTGCGGCTCCGGTGGCGGCGCCGCCTCCGCGGCGCCCGGGGGTTACGCAGGGTTCACTGCTTCCCCGGCTCCTGCTGTGCAGCGGCGCGCTCCCGGCCGAGCGGTCGCGCCCGCGGGCGACGGCGCTCCCGTGGCCAGAGCGGAGGTCGTCGCAGAGATGCGCGCGATGATGGCGGCTCAGGCGGCCCCCCCGCGCCAGGCCCGCGCGCTGCCGTTGGCGGGCACCCCGCGGGGGGCCCAGGTGCCTCGTCGCGACGACCTGCAGAGCTTCGTGACGCGAGCCCCTCCCGCCCCGCAGCGGGTGCAGGCCAAGATGGGCCCTCCCGTCTCCGCCCTGGCGGCGGCGTGGGGGGCATCGCGACCTGCGCGCGCGTCGGCCAAGGCCCCGCTGCCTCTGGCCACGCTGCGGCGCGAGCCCGCTGGCGGTAGCGACGGTGTTGACGCTCCTGCCCGAGACGGCCGAGGCGGTGGACGTGGGGGAGGCTGAGGGCACGGGGGTCGATGCTGTGTTGATGGCTCTCTTGCTCGTCGCCATCAACTGGCTCATCATGGAGCTTCGGGGCAAGAAGGTGGTTGGGGGGGGGGGCTGGAGTTCCCGGGCGGACAAGGTGGTCAACGACGCTACATTGCCAGATCCGAGCAGCATCGGATCGGCAACCAGCGCCACGACGCGTAGGGGGCGCGTCTACGTGGCGCCGAGGTTCGGAGAGAAGTTCCACCCCGCTCGCGCGCGCGGTGGCCTGCCGACCGCGAGGGGGGCGAAGGAACTCGAGTGCTGCGAGGTATGCGGCTGAGTGAGTGAGTCCTCGGGCCGCCCGTGCACGTTGCCGGCTCAGGGGCGGTCGGGCCTCCGAGCTGATGCAGTGCCGACCCGATGGGCTTCGATGGTTTTCTTTCGAGGCTCGAGCGAGGCCAGCCCGAGCGGGCTCCTGCGGCGAGCGTCGGGGGCACGGGTGGGCATCGGAGCGCTGGAGATGCTCGGATCGAGGTCTTGCGCGCAGCAGAGAGAGTCCCGTCGGCGGAGTTGGCCGCGGGGCCGTCGATGGAGTGCGCTGTGGTCCGAAGGGGCCGTAGCGAGGAGGCGTGCGTGTCTGCGGCCCCCGATGACAGGGGAATATTAGGATGTGCGTGGTGGCCACGACGCGTTGCATCCGACGCTGCATCTGCTTAGGCGCGCCTCGGCCCAGGAGAAAGTCCGAGAAAGGCGAGGCGGCCGCGCGCGCATGTCGAGCCCTTTCCATGGCCGTCATCATCGACGCGAGGGCGCGGCCATCGTTATTGGCGTGATCAGCGTCGGCGTCCTCGCTGGCCGCGCCGTCGTCGTTGTCAACGTCGCCACCGGCATCGCTACTATCATCATCGTGTCTACCGTTGTCCCAAGTCGCCGAAACGCACTGAAGTGTCCGTTGGGATGTGCCCAGCGGTCAGCGCTGCCGCGGCCGCGTCGGTCGCGCCAAACTAGCTGGCCGCTGCGCGCGCTTGGGTTGGCGCGGCCGCAGAGATGCGCCCGCCAACGCCGAGCATTCTTCGCAATCGCCGTCGCATGGGTTTAGCAAACCAAGTTGTGGGTGGATGGGCGGGGTGCTTGCAGCGGCATTGAATGCGCCAGCTCCTTTGTGAAAACGATTGCACCGTGTGCATTCTCCTTTCTAAATGCACTCTGCCCCCCCTTCCCCGGGATGATCGGCGCCCCTTTTCGCGTTGCGATTTTCGTCGGGTTCTGCCCCTGTCCGTCCGGAATGCGAATTCACACCGTCCCGGCCAGGCCGGCGTCGCCCGCCCCCCCCCCGCCATTTTCTGCAACAAATCTTGTCGGCGCGCGCTCGTTGATCTGAAATCGTCAATGCCTGAGAAACCGTTGCAACGAATGAGGCGGAGTGCACCCGCGCGCGTCGTCGCGCGCGCGTGCCGAAATAATTCAACAACCGTCGTTTTTCTTCATGGTTTCAAAATCGAGTGTCGAAAAATGTAAAACACATGGTTTCGCAACGCGGTTTTTGAAAGACAGCTTGCGTGGGCGCTCTTGCGAGTGCTTAAGAAAACCACAGGTTTCTCGATGGTATCGGAAACTGCTACACAATGGGCGTCGCGTGCGCATGTCGAAATCGTTCGAATGCCCTTGCGCGCGTGTCGTCGCGAGAATTCATCGCGACAAATGAAACGAATCGTGCGCGCGTCGCCGCGGGCGCATGCCGCAATCCGTCAAAAACCATCGGCGCCGCAACGATGTCAGGACACATGGTTCCGCAACATCAGTTTTCAAAAAAGCGTGCGCTTGCGCTCTTGCGATTTTTGAAAAAAAGAAAACCATCGAATTTCAATGGGTTTATGAATTTCTGCCAGACGGGCCTTTGGCTCCGCGCGTCGAAATCATTCGCTCGTACTTGCGCGCGTGCTGGGGGGGGGGGGCGCGATCCGCGTCAAATGGCGCCATGCGAGCCACTCTCGCGCGTCGGCCGCGCGCGCATGCCGAACCCTTTCCAAAACTTTCATAATCGACGCGAGGGCGCCGTCATCGTCACTGGCGTGATCGGCACTGGCGCCCGCGCTGGCCGCGCCGTCGTCGTCAACGTCGTCGCCAGCATCGCTGCTATCATCATTGTGTCTACCGTTGTTCCAAGTCGCCGACTCGTATTGAAATGCCCGTTGGGGTGCGCCCAGCGGTCAGCGGCGCCGCGGCCGCGTCGGTCGCGCCAAACTGGCCGGCCGCTGCGCGCGCGTGCTTGGGTTGGCGCGGCCGCGTAGATTCGCCCGCCAACGCTGCGCATTCTTCGCAATCGCCACCGCATGGGTCTTGCAAGCCACGTCTGGGTGGGTGGGTGGGTGGGGCGTTTGCAGTGGCATGGGATGTGTCAATTCCCTTGTGTAATCAATTACAACGCGTAGATTCTCCTTTCTAAATGCACTCTGCCCCCCTCCCCCCTGGGATTATCTGCGCCCCTCTTCGCATTGCAATGTGCATCGGGTTCTGCCCCTGCCCATCCGGAATGCGAACTCATACCGTCGCAGCCAGGCCGGCATCCGCCCCCATCGCCACCCTCTGCAACAAATACTTGGCGCGCTTTCGCTGATCAAAAATCTTCACTGTCCAAGAAACTTTTGCAACGGCATGAGGCGGAGCGCACGCGCGCGCGTCGTCGCATGCCGAAATCATTCAACAACCTTCGGTTTCGTGAGGGTTTCAACATCGAGTGTCCAAACGTGTAAAAACATGGGCTCGCAGCGCGGATTTACAAGAAAGGTTGCGCGCGCGCTCTTCCGAGTTCTTCCAGATAGTGCAACCAGGAAGTGCTGCCAAACGGGCATCGCGCGCGCGTGTCGAAATCGTTCGGACGCCCTTGCGCGCGTGCTGTCGCGAGAACCCATTGCAACGAATCAGACGAAGCGCGCGTGCGCCGTCGCGCGCGCAAGCGGCAATCCGTCAACAACCAAGAGGTGTCGTAACGATGTCAGAACCGAGTGTCCAAGACACATAAAACAAAACACATGGTTCCGCAACGTCAGTTTTCAAAAAAGCGCGCGCTCGCGCTCCTGCGTTTTTTTTTTTAAGCCATAGTTCCCCCCCCCCCCCCCCTGGTCATGGTATTCTGCCGAACGGGCCTCTGGCGCCGCATGCCCACATCATTTGCGCGCCTTTGCGCGCGTGCTGGGGGGGGGGGGGGGCGGGGGTGCGATCCGTGTCAAAATTGCCATGCGGGCCATTCACGCGCGTCGGCCGCGCGCGCATGTCGAAACCCTTCCCGAACCTTTTACTGCCGACGCGAGCGCGCCGTCATCGTCGTCGGCGTGATCGGCATCGGCGCCTGCGCTGGCCGCGCTGTCGTCGTTGCGGCATCGTCGCCAGCGTCGCTAGTACCATCGTCGTGTCTACCGTTGTCGACGTTGCCATGTTGCGGCGCCCGCCCAAGTCCCCGACTCGCACTGAAGTGCCCGCTGGCATGCGCCCGGCGGTCAGCGGCGCCGCGGCCGCGTCGGTCGCGCCAAACTAGCTGGCCGCTGCGCGCGCGTGCTTGGGTTGGCGCGGTCGCAGACAGGGACCAGCCAACGCGCCAGCGCCGGGCGCCCATCAATTGCCGCCCCGTGCGTTTTGCAAACCAAGTTGCGGGTGGGTCGGTGGTGATTCCGCGAGCAGTGGAGGTGGTCATGCGCGGTGCAGGGTCATCAGTTTTCCTTTCTGGAAAATTCCCCCTCCCCCTGGGGATTACCGCCCTCCTTTCCGCATTGCAGTTTACGTGTGATGTTGCCCCGTCGCCCATCCTAAATGCGAATTCACACGATCCCAGCCCAACCAGTATCGCCCCCCCGCCATCCGCTGCAAAAAGACAGTATGCGCGCTCTCGTTGAGCCAAAGTCATTTTTGTGTGTGTGTGTGTGTGTGTGTGTGTGTGTGTGTGTTCCCCCCCCCCCCCCCCTCCATCCAGAATCCCTCGCAACAAATGGGACGAAGTGCGCGCGTGTCATCGCGCGCGCATGCCGGAAGCATGGAATCGAGTGTAGGAAAAAACAACACATAAAAGCATATGCTTTCGCAGCGCTGACTTTCAACAAAAAGCGTGCGATCGCGTGCTAGTGAACTCTTGAGGAAACGATCTGTTTTTCAACATTTTGAGACAATGCCACCAAACAGGCTTCGTGCGCGCATGTCGATTTCTTTCGAACGCCCTTGCGCGCGTGCTGGGGTGGCACGATCCGAGTCAACAAGTACAGTGCTGGCCACTCGCGCGTCTGCCGCTCGCGCATGTCGAACTCCTTCCGGAACCTTCATCACCGACGCTAAGACGCTGTCATCGTCGTCGGCTGTGTCAGCATCGGCGCCGTCGCTGGCTGCCCCATCGTCGCTGCCGGCATCGTCGCCAGCGTCGCTACTATAATCGTCGTGCCTACCGTTGCCGACGTTTCCGTGATACCGCGCCCACCGAAAGACGACTCGCATTGAAGTGCCCGCTGGGATGTGCCAAGCTGTCAGCGCCACCGCGTTCGCGTCGGTTGCGCCAGACTAGCTGGCCGCTGCGCGCGTAAGCATGCGCGGGTCAGTGCAGCCGCGGAGCTGCACCAGCCAGCGCCAAGCACTCATCGCAATCGCGTCCGCATGGGTTTCTCAAACCAAGGTGCGCGTGGTTTTTCCGAATCAAGTTGCGGGTGGGTGGGTGGGGTGGTTGCGCCAGCAGTGGAGTCGACAATTTGAAGTTCGCCACGGTGATTTTCTTTTCTACAACAGAGAAAAGATTCCCCCCCTCCCCCGCGGGATTTTCGGCACCCCTTTTCGTATTGCAATTTGCATTTGATTCTGCCCAATCGTCCATCATAAATATAAATTCATGCCGTCCCCAGGCCAACGGGTATCGGCCCCCCCGCCATCCCCTGCAACAGATATCATGCGCGCGTGCCCGTTGATAACAAAGTCACAAGTTCTCAAGGATTCCGTGCGACAGCTGAGGCGAAGGGCACGCGCGCGCGCCGTCGTGCGCGCACGCGGAATCCTTGCAACAACTTTCGGTTTCGTAGGAATTCCCAAACCGAGTGTCGAACAATTCATACAAACACAAATGGCCTCGCAACGCTGATCTTCAACTAAGCTTTCATGTGCGCCCTTGCGGTTTTTTGTATTAAAAGGAAAGAACTATATATCCTTCAACATCTTCTTAAAATGCGGCCAGGCGGGCTTCGCGCGCGCACGTCGGAAACGTTCGAACGCCCTTGCGCGCGTGCCGTCGCGAGAATCTTTTTGCAACAGATGAGACGAAGTGCACGCGCGCGCGTCGTCGAGCGCGCGTGCCGAAATCCGTCCAACACCTTTTTGGTTTCGTAGGGATTTCAAAACCGATTGTCCAAACACATTCAAAAACAAAGGGGTTGCCAACGCGGGTTTTCAAACAAGATACGTGGTCTTGCGATTGCTTGAAAACCGCAGGTTTTTCAACCTGTTTATGGAATTCTGCCAAATGGGCCACTGGCGCCGCGTGCCGACATCATTCGCGCGCCCTTGCG